GTGGGGTACAGAAGAAAGCAAGTATTGTCAGCTGTGGATAAAGCCACTAGTTCTGGTCAATAAAGCGTTACTAAGTCAGAGCCGACAGGAAGAGCATTGATGCAGGCTGGAAGAGCAGACTCCCGAGCACCCAAGCCTGGGACCACAGGAGGGTCACAGGGAGGCGCCATGAGCTAAGAACTCTGTAGCAGCACATCCCTAGGTCCAGGCCCCTGCTATGAAGGCAAGCAGAGGAAGATACTATAGACACTGAAACTGATTTTCAGTGGTTAGCACTAGCTAGTGTCCTGCCCCATACCAGCAGCCTAAAGATGATGGATGCTCAGGCAAGAGCTAAGGAGACCTCTAGGGACCTTCTGACAATCCCATTTCTCATCAATACAGACCAGGGCCAGCAAACAGGAAAATGGTGGGATGCTTATCGATCACTTCTCAGCATTGATCTTTTGTTACTCATTCTGAGTTGTCTTGAAATGGCTGACAATGCGATGTGTGAGTAAAAACACATGGTGCATCGTCGCTTTAGGAAATAAGCCAGGGGCTGGGAAGGTGGCTCAGTGGTAGAGTGTTTGCTTTGCATGCATGAGGCCCTGGGTTCAATTCCTCAGCACCACATAAGCAGAAAAAAGCCAGAAGTGGTGCTCTGGTTCAAGTGGTAGAGCACTAGCCTTGAGCTAAAGAGCTGAGGAACAGTGCCCAGGCCCAGAGTTCAAGCCCCACTACAGACAAAAAAAAAAAAGGAAATAAGCCAGGATGGGGCCTGAGCAGCATGATCCCAGGACCTCTGACTCCAGGACTACTGTCTACGATCTCCTTGCACATCAGGATCACACAGCTGTCCTACCAAACGCATCAGAGTCGAAGTGCAGAGGAGGTTGGAGGATGCGTTTCAGGCTATTTATCCATGGTAAACAAGATGTTCACAAATGCCCTCAGCCTTGTGGACAGAGGAGTGAAATGGGTAGAAAGAGGGCAAGAGAGAATTAGGAGAACACAGAAAACCTTGTAATCAGTTTATTTCATAGAGCAACTGGGCTGGGCCACTAGGCCCAAATATTTGATCCCACATTATTCTGGATGTTCTGCCAGGATAGTTTTGTGGTGAAATTCATTTACATCCACAGACCTCTAATAAAGTAGACTGTTCTTCATCACGTGAAGGATGATTAGAAGATGAAGGGTGAGGTCAGCCTCATCCAATTAAGTTGAATATCTGAATAAAATAGAAGGCCAAACGGCCCAAGCAAGAAGGAATTCAGCCCATCAATGGAATTCAGACTCCTCAACCTCAGCTCCTCCTGGTGGGAGCAGCAGTATTTAGACAATTCTTTCCTGACTCTCCAGTCTGTGGGCCTGCACCATCAGAATCTGATACCTCGTGCTTCACAAGGGTTGCCGACTGTCCCGCCAGGAGCTAAACGTGTCCGCTGCCTTTCCAGAGAGCTGGTCTGAAGCTCCAGACTGAGACCGCCAGCTGCAGCTTTCTCACGGAGGAGTCCTGCGTGCTGGGCACATGCCCATATCACCTGTGTGCTACGATCACGTGACATGTATCATGGAGTCTTATTGGGGTTTGTTGTTGTTGTTGTTGTTGTTGTTGTTGTTTTGTTTTGTTTTGTCTGTCATGGGGATTGAACTCTGGGCCTGGGCACCGTCCTTCGGCTCTTCAGCTCAAGACTAGCGCTCTACCACTTGAGCCACAGCACCACTACCGGCTTTTTTCTTTTTGCTTATGTGGTGTTGAGGAATCGAACCCAGGGCCTCATGCATGCAAGGCAAGCGCTCTACCACTGAGCCACCTTCCCAGCCCATCTTATTGGTTTTATTCCTTTGTACAATCCTGCCTAATAAGAATGACTGGATCTGGACAGACAAGTTCCATGGCATCTAATTTGGATCTCAAAAGACTGAACACTCAAGCCAGCAAACAGACCTGCATAACAGGTGATCTGGGGGTCAGAGCAAGTAGGCTAACCAACCTGGGGACAGAGTTCCAAGACATAAATAGTGGACCAACGGCCAACTTATTTTTGTCAAGAGAAGGACAGCTCAGAATCAACTCTTGTAACAAAAGCAGCCTTCAGAAAATAGGAAGGAAGGTTTTGCTGGCGTCACAGTAAACACTTGAAAAGCCCTTCTTGGACCAGTGCAGTAGCTCAGAACAGCCAGCTTAAGCTCTATCATCACACTTATCAACCCAGAACTGAGAAATATCCCCTCACCAAAGTACAGCTGACAGGGGAGAAATGAGTTCCATTACCCAATGAGAGTGGTATAGAAATAACAGAATTGCTTTTTATCCTGATGGATGATCTAATAAGAGAATATAAAAATGATTAGAAACAATAAAATTAAATCGCCACATGCAGTTCGATTTATATTGCTCTGTAGAGTAGATTCTAACCTGGTGTAGAAGGCTGGACCAAATAACTCCTTATTGTAGGAGACAGTGACAAGGAAGAAACATGATGACCATGATCTTTATTGCTGGAAAACACTGCTATGTCACTGTAACTACCACAGCACCACAAAAACCCACGAGACTCAAGCAGACACAGAAACAGCTGAGCCACCAGTCCACCCTGCAGAGGTGGTTTGATTTGCATGAGTCATTTTGTTCCAAGATAACATGACCCAAAGTGGTGGATCTTGGACATGGTAATGCCAGGCTGATCATTTGCTCAAGAGTCACCAGGAATAATGATAATAGCTGATGTAGTTACTGGCCACTGTGACCTGATGCAGAATCCACGGCCGCAGAGACTCTCTTAGAGGTAAATGAGGTGCTTCCAGGAGGTGACAGGGAAGAAAGAAGGATGCTGGATGCCCTTCAGAGACGCTGGTACCCCCAATCAAGATCCGCTCCCTCTGAGGTGAGTCTGCCAAAATTGGCTTCAATCCCTCACCAAGACTTTTGAATCATTTTTCCTCGTGCTTCCCAAGGGTTGCCGACAGCCCTGCCAGGTGCTAAACGTGTCCGCTGCCTTTCCAGAGAGCTGGTGTGAAGCTCCAGACTGAGACCCCCAGCTGCAGCTTTCTCACGGAGGAGTCCTGCGTGCTGGGCACATGCCCATAGCACCTGTGTGCTACGATCACGTGAGCTTGCAGTGAACCCAACCACGTTGTCAGTCACCAGGTCCAGAAGCGACCCCTGCTCCCCGCTCCTATGAGACATTTCTCTTTGGCTGATGTTGTCTTTCTCAGTTCACTGGGGTCTGCACGGCCTGCGGGGAGGCACTCACTCACAGTCCCTCACTCTCTTTATTAAATGGGTTCTTCACTGCTTTTTCGTTGTTTTCCCAGGTACGTGACCCACCCCACCCCAGCTTTGACTGTCATAGAAGAACACTCAGGATCTTTTGCTTTTCTTTCCCATCAAATGCATTCATAAATGAGGCTTCCCTCAGGCAAGAGGGTGGACTGGTCCCAGCTGGCGGCGATGGAAGGCCTTTGTGAAAGCCACCTTGTGCGGGCTCGCGCCCCAGCTTCCTCTCCATCCTCCTCCTCCTCCCTCTCACAAGCAGGGCTACGACTCGGCCCTTGGTTTTCCTTTGGGTCCATTTTCAAAGCTTTGGCAAAAATGATCCTTTCTGCTGCTCCCTCTGCAGAGTTCCCAACCACATTCTGCCTTTTCTAAATTATATTTTTATTGTCTCCAAGTAGCTGAATGAAGGCGTTCCCATTCGACAAATCCGTTTATGAATACGATACGTCTTCACCAGTGCCACCCCCTCATCATTCTCCCTCGTCCCGTCAATTTTCTGTCTTTTCCAGTGAAAATCACACAGGAAAAAAAATGTGTTTTTAAAGCAACTGCCAGATCATACTTAAGATAGGAAACTCCTGGTTTTCTAAGATGATGGAGAAATATTTGAAAATTTCCCCCAAAACTTCTCTCCTTCATCAGACACTCATCAAAGTTCACACTGTGATTAGAAAAGGCACCAGGTTATCTAAGAACATGGTCCCTGCTGCCCTTAAAGTCATCCTAGAACAGATCACACTTTGGGGAGGGCTGGGGGGTCTACCTTCACTGGACATTAACTCCAGTGGAAAAATGTGTAGACTGGGGAAAGGAAAAGAAAGCGAAAGATGACAGAGAACAGAACCCAGAAGTGGTGAGTGGAATCCTGTCCCTGAGGGTAGAGAGGACTGGTTCCCTCACCTCTGCTCTCCAGGTGGGGCCCAGAGCCCTCCGGAGAAACTGTCTTAATAAGCTCTGCACTGCTGGTACGATGGTCCCAGTCACTGATGGCTAACTCTGGTCCCTAAGCGGAAGACAAGAAGAGGAAGTTGCCCTCAGGCCCATGCTCCGTGTGACTGCAGCTATTAAAAAAACAAATGTGGGAGAGCCCAGGGATTCTACAGTGCTCAGAGAAAGTCAGAGAGAAAAAAACCTAGGCAGATGGGCAAAGATGGCAGTCCCACAGAGACAACACCCCTCTCTCTCCCTACAGGCCCCAGAAGACAGAGAGAGTGGCCTGGTGGAGACAACACCCTGGAGCAGAACTGTACGGGGGACAGGCGCCCGGACCTGGGGTGAGGTGGACAGCGATGCGTCATGGTGCTAGCTCCCCAAGGCCCGCCTCTCACCCCTGCCTCTGCCTCATGCCTTCGCCTGCTCTTCTCCATCTGCAGTTCTATTATCATTGCTAGAGAAATGTGAAGTCCAGGCGGAAATGACCACATTGGCAGACAACAGTTCCAAACACTGATAAGCCAATGACTGCACTTACCTTTTATTTCTTCCATTTCTCTTGATTCTATTACCAGATATAGTCTTCCGTCATTCCAAAGCTAGAGGATGTATCAGTACACAAACGTATTACAAATCACAGGGAGATTTTTGCATACTAATCCATAATTGAAGCCAGAAATTTGGAGGGCTTCTCCAGCAAATACACCAGGTCTCTATTATCCTCGTTTGACGTGTGCACCCACATACACATGTGTTTATGCATGCAGATATACGTCCACATGCTCCCCGGTTGACCCCTCACCTCCGATGGCTTTGTGGCGCATTTTCCCTTTCCCGAGCACTCTACGTCATTCGGGCGGCTGTCCCCTGGCGCGCACGTGCTGGCCTTCACCACCAGAGTCAAGCGCAAGGCAACGATAGACTTCGTCACGGAATCATTCACAAACCCTGAAAGAAAACCAAAACAATCGCAACAGTAAAGTATGGCTTCACCAACCGACCCTCTACCCAGCTCTAGGTAGCATTCCAGTCTGACCAAAAAGAAAAAGTGAGTGTAGCACAAAGGAGTAAAGCAAACACGACTCTCCATCCAGATGTCAGGTCTTCAAGATGTACGTGGTCAAGAGCAAGGAGCACCAGACACATCACTCCAGACACGGCCTGTGGTCCTTCACTTGTTCCTATCTCTCAATTCCACCCCTAGGGGCCACCTTGGAATTCAATCTCTGCTTCTAAACCCGGCTCTTCCCCCTGTCACTCAAAGCTTCTCCTGAGTACTCTGGAATGTCCCCCATTCTGCCGGCAGTCTACACAGCGGCCCCCAGCCCCCTCGCAGGTAGGCAGGCAACGCCAGCGCACACTCCGTGTTGGATTCATTAATGAGCAATTCACCTGATCACCAATTGGACTTTATGGTATTGATTTTATCCACCAAGTAAAATGGATAATTTCAGCTAACTAACAAAACTGGGCTAATCATAGCTAAACGTTGAGCTGAATATTGATTACAATATCACTGAGTTGTCTTATTTATCATTGAAGGATCTTTAGGTGTATAAGGCAGCCATTCATGCATAGCAGTCAATATAGATATTTATAGCACATATACTTACATTTATTTAGCATAAACATAGAATACTGAGGAATTAATATAGCTTCTAGCTGGAATGAAGAAATAAATATCTTGGTATTTATTTAGTGAATATTTTAGTAAGCAAGCATTTTTTTCTCATAAGAATATAACTTTTTATTTCAAAGGAAAATACTACCAAAACTCATGAATGTGCCAAGATATTTAGTCCTTGGTGCTGTTCAAGAGTAAGATCAAGTCCATGAGTCTCATATACACCCATATCCACAGATATTTTTATAGATATGCATGGGTATTTTACGACATGGGCTCTTTTATGTGTGTGCTGGTTCTGGGCCTTCAACTCAGGCCTAGCTGCTCTCCCTGAGCGTTTTTGAGTCACACCTCCACTTCCTGCTTTTCTGGTAGTTGGAGATAAGAGTCTTATGGATTTTCCTGTCTGGGCTGGTTTCAAACCATAATCCTCAGCTCTCAGCCTCCTGAGTAGCTAGGATTACAAGTATTAGAAACCAGCAACTGGCTGATAAAAGACTCTGAATGCCCAGGAGTCAGTGGGGAAAAAAATGAACAAAAGAAAATGATTGATTGAAGAGCAATTGAAATAAATTCCATTACCAGGAGGAAAAGAGGTACATTCTGATCTCTATTTCTGATTATACATAAAAGTAAATCTAGATGGCTTAAAAATGGTAACGTTGAGGCTGGATGCCAATGACTCAGGCCTGTATCCTAGCTACTCAGGAGACTGAGATTTGTGGATTGCAGGTCAAAGCTGGCTTGGGCAGGAAAGTTCATGAGACTCTTTTTTTGGGGGGGGGGGGGGGGGGTCCGGTCGTGGGGCCTGAACTCTGGGCCTGGGCGCTGTCCCTCAGCTCTTCAGCTCAAGGCTAGTGCTCTACCACTTCAGCCACAGCGCCACTTCCGGCTTTTTTTCTTTTTGCTTATGTGGTGCTGGGGAATCGAACCCAGGGCCTCAGGCATGCAAGGCAAGCGCTCTACCACTGAGCCACCTTCCCAGCCCTCATGAGACTCTTATCTCCAATCAACCACCAAAAATCCAGAAGCAGAGCACTAGGGTTCAGCAAAAAAAGCTCAGGGACAGTGCCCTGGCCCTGAGTTCAAGCACTAGGACCAAGATTTAAAAAAATAAATAAATAAAATTTAAAAAAAGCTAAGATGTCAAAAAACTTTAAGACTCCAAGTAGAAACACAAGAAGTTGGCTGTTTCACCAGCCTCACAGCATGAAAATTTTCAAATGAGACACAAAATGAATCATAAAAATAAATTAATTTTCCTCTATATAAACCTAAATTGTATAAATAAAATTGTAAATTATTTATAAATAGGCACCACAAACAAAGATGGTAGACCAGATGCAGGCTTCAAGATAAAATTTATAATGCATAAAACCTGAAAATGATTACCTGCCATAATATATAAAATATTCCTCCACTTGCTTTTCTCTCAACATTACTTGTATTTATATAAATATTAAAACATACAGAGCAGCATGAAGCTCTTTTATGTATAAATATATAAACAGTAAAATTATGTAGAGATGCATGGAAAGAAACAAACCAATCTCAGCAAATGGAAGAAGGAGGCAGAGATGGGCAGAAAGGGAACTTCTGGCTGCAAATATAAAAGTTTATTTCTTTATTAAAAATGAATAAAGAGGGCTGGGAAGGTGGCTTAGTGGTAGAGCGCTTGCCTTGCATGCATGAGGCCCTGGGTTCAATTCCTCAGCACCACATAAGCAGAAAAGGCCGGAAGTGGAGCTATGGCTCAAGTGGTAGAGTGCCAGCCTTGACCTGAAGAGCTGAGAGACAGCACCCAGGCCCAGAGTTCAGTCCCCACGACTGACGGAAGAAAAAAAATGTATAAAGAACACCAGGCATGGTGGCCCATGATATAATCAATGCTACTTTAGAGGCGAAGATCAGAAAGATCACAGTTCAGGACAGCCTGGGCAAAAAAGTTAGCAAGACTCCATTTCAAGCAATCAGTCATACCAGGTACCTCTCATACCAACTAGGCAGGAAGCTGAAGGTAGGATCATTGCCTGTGGCCAGCCCTGGAGAAAAATATATTAAAATATACTAAAGGGCTGGGGGCATGGCTGATGTGGAAGGCACCTATCCAGAAAGGTGAGGCCTTGCATCTACACTCAGCCTCCCCGCAGGAAAAGTAGAAAGAAAATATACAACAAAAGGGATTAAGACTCGTGTATAATGGAACCCTATATTCATTTCCATAGTCTTACATATATTTTAATATTGTACAAATAAATGTTTAGTAGGTGGGTAGGGAAGGGCTAGTGGGAGAACAACAAAGGAGGGGCAACGATGCTGGATAGGAAGCGAACTCACTGCCTGACTCGTTAACGTAGCCCCTCCGTACAGCATCTTTGTAATAAAATCAAATTTAAACAAATAAATGTTTAATTTAGATTATTCATAAAGCTACGGTATCACTACTTCAAGCAGGCTGTGACAAGTTATAAATCTACAAGTAAACACACTGGGCGGTAAGCAAGGGGTTACAAGTGAATTAACTGAAGTGTCACAGACTCTATGGAGAGCTCAAATAGTATAGTTCTAAAAAAAAGAGTGAGTCAAAGCCCAACAAAATAAATAGCAGGTGCTTGCAAGAGGGAAGGGGAAGGCCAAGGGCAAGGGGTAGGAGAATGAAGGAGGAAGAGGGAGGAATGCAGTCAGGAATTCACTGTATAGACCACAGGGCTCAGAACTGTAAGGGAAGGGGTGGGAGGAAGCGGGTGGAAGGTGGATGACACAGATCAAGATACTCTGTACACACAAACTGCTTTGTTAAATGGCAGAAACAAATTCAATGCCTAAACTAAAATCAAGATACGTAAGGGAAAGGGTGGGCTGGGAGGCATGGGGGAGAATGCTGGATGGGTGACAATGACCAAGATGCACCGTGTTCATAAGCTGCTTCCGTGAGCGGCTCCTTTGTACAACTACTTAAAGATAATAAAAATATTTTCTGAGCTGTTCGTTTCTAGCTCTCTGCTCTCTCTGTTCTATTCTAGCTCTCTGTTCGTTTCTAGCTCTCTGCTCTCTCTGTTCTATTCTAACTCTCTCTCTGTTCCTCTCTGCTCTTGCTCTGTTCTTTTCTAGCTCTCTCTGCTCTCTCTGCTCTTTTCTAGTTCTTTCCTCTCTCTTTCCCAGCTCTCTCTCTCATTCCCAGGCCTTTCCCAGCCACGTGGAGTGCCAACCTTGCCTGGTCCAGCAGGTCTACTGAATAAACCTACCCCTTACCTGAAAAAACATATATATATATATTTTCTGAAACACAAATTAACAACAGCAAAAGAATAAGAGAAAAAGAAATGCAGAGCACCCTGCTATCCAGAAAACAAGTTCCAGAATGACTTTGTGGTCATCTTCTCTAAACTTTTCAAACACCCTGTTTCCCTCACTTTATTAAATTCCTTATTGTGATGCACACATGCATATTGTTCTCACAAGTGCATTACCTTAAAATAACCATAAGAACCTGGATACAAAAGAGAGAGTGAATCACATCAATCTAGCTGGCTTGCACGTCAACTCCTATCATCTCATTAGGTGATGGTCACCTAAAAAGACATTGCTATTGCTTTTGGTGGTGGTGGTGGTGGTCAGTCATGGGCCTTGAACTCAGGGCCTGGGCGCTGTGCATGGGCTTTTTTCACTCCAGGCTAGTACTCTACTCCTTTGAGCCACAGCTCTTTTTTTGTGGTGGTTAATTGGAGGTAAGAGTCTCACAGACTTTCCTGCCTGGGCTGGCTTCGAACCACCATCCTCAGATCTCAGCTCCTGAGTATTGTAGCTAGGATTACAGGTGTGAGCCACTGGTGCCGGGCTAAACATTGCTATTTCTCACTACACATGAGCGCCATTCCCAGTTTAGAATTCCCTGTACTCTGGGGTGCTGTGCCTCTGCTTGTTATATCAAATTTGTTCAAAGTGAGGCTGGACATACTAGGCTCACTATTCATCCTTCTAAATGTTAAGCAAAAGGCAACTGTGAAGCAAAAAGAAAAAGAAAAAAGAAAAAGCGAGGCTCAGGCTCGGGCTGAGGGAGGAAAGGGGTTCACTTTCTCCAGAGCCCCCCAGCTCTCAGAGCTGCTTCTAGCAACAGAGGGAAGTTAGTCTTCGGGTTGCACCTCTGTCTGTCCTGAGCATTGAAACAAGTCTTACTAAAGCCCGCCACGTGCTGCAGCGAATCCCAGATGAGGGCGGCCCCTCACAGTACGGGGCCTCCGCAAAGACAGGAGCCACAGGTCTGACGCCGGTGGTGGTTTACATGCACACACTGCTGGCTGCTACCGGCTTCAGGAAAGAAGGA